CAGAATATGACGCAAACCTGCAATAATTAAATGTTAAACAACACAAATATCCTTTATGTATTTAATCCCATTCTATTAACCAATGTCTTTGCTTCTGACCTTCGATGATCCAGTTCAACCGTACTAATAAGCAAAAATTACTGTAGACAAACATTTGTGTGTCTTTGTTTATTGCTGAAGAGTGTTGAAATTTCTTCTTCTGCATTCTACTGTAGGGATGTAAATGTACTTTCCCTTCAGCCTGAGGCTTATTCATTTCACTTTTGGTGTGAAAAGGCTTTTATATTTGCCAAAAATAGAACGTTTTTATTTTAAAAACAAACAAGCAAGCCCTGTCCAGATTTAAAAAGTAACGCAAAAGTAACGTAACGCATTACTTTCTATAAAAAGTAACGTAATTAGTTACTTTTTTATGGAGTAACGCAATATTGTAATGCATTACTTTTAAAAGTAACGTCCCCCAACACTGCTGATAACACAGATGACACAACACACTTGATGGCTGCGCTGTCAATTCTTCGTATTCAGTTAGGAACCTAGGTGTGCTCTTTGATAGCAATCTTTTCCAGCTTAAAATATATCTAAATTAAGACCAGTGTCAAATGCAGAAACGTTAATTCATGCATTCATGACCTCATAGTCAGATCCTTTTCCTATTTATTTTACAGTATAATTACATGTATTATTTTTAAAAAACAATAATACTTTTTTACTGTATTTACTTTACAGTGCAAACATAATTTAACAAAATTTTACTATGAAAATATTGCCATTTTAAATATAATGTACATCTTCTTGATAAAGAGTTCACTAATTCAAGCGTTTTCCTTCTGTATATTTGCCATTTTACAGAAAAATTGAATGTTTTCTTTTTTAAACCAATTTACAGTAACATTTTTATATTCTTTAACTATTTTAAATTCATTCTTTAAAGTCCCCCTGTGGTGAAAATCAAGTTTTTTATGTTGTTTATTTGTTTGTGGTGTTTTTAATATACTTTTAGACAAACCACGTGCCAATCCATTTATCAACACCATTGCTGAGTATTTTCTCCTTAAAACGGTAGTTTCCCAAAGGCAGTCACAGAAACGCAGTTTGAAACAGACTTTTTTTTTTCTACGTCACAAAACTCAATAACCAATCGCGTCAAGGGATTCTATCCTTAGCATATCATTAACTGTTCTGCAAAGCAGAGGGTCTAGTGCAGTGCTTCCCAAAGTCCGGACTCCAGTCCGGATCCGGACCCAGAGGGAATTCAATCCGGACCCGCCTCCATTTCGTATTTCAAGAGCACTAATTTCCTAATTTGATAAACTGTTAAAACTTGAAAATCATTTGTTTAGTTTTTTTAAAATGTCTTTTTGGAGATGGTCCGAAATGAAAGCGAAGGCGAGATATTTAAAGTTTACCTGCGTGTCATTGTTGTCATGACATCCAGTGAGCGTTTGACATATCCTAATCGGGCGACACTTCACCGCTAATAAGAGTTTTTTTTTTACTTAGATTATGCCGGCCATTTGACTTATAGCAGTGTCCAAGTGTTTCCCATACATTGAGTTATTTGTGGCGGCCCGTCACTATATCAAAACTATCAAAAAGCTTCAATGTCATTTTCATTTCGTCTTTCCTGTAATGCCTGATAAAAATTAGCAGTGTCTCATTTAGAAGGCTGCGCTCTCCAGAGGTCGCATTCGAAGGCTGCATACGTCATCGAGGCTGTCTCATTTCAGAAAAGCAAGTAGGACACTCCGAATGCGACCTTCGAATGTGACCTTCTTTCACAGGAATTCGGAGGATGCATGAGGTGTATCCTTCACTGCTACAGATAACCCACAATTCTTTGCGTCGCCGTAAACAACCGTTGTTAATTTGAAAAATGCCGGCGCCGGCAGATGTACACACATGCGCAGATGTGGTGTTTACAACTTACCTTAAATCGCCTCGGTAAAAACGGATAAACTTTGTTTTTAATATCCTCCTTTTTTTTCTCTAACAGATGTCTGCTGTACATACGCTGCAGCTCCTCAAACATTGAACAAAATAAACAAAATTTTTTATTACTTTCCAATTTAGAAATAATTTTCCTTCATTTAAGTAGTGTGAGAGCGCAACGATGCTTTAAATGTGTTGGATACTTCCTGTTTCCTTTTCCGCCTGTCCTATGAAGGCCGTCTCGTTTAATTCTAGGTTGAGGACACTTCGTATATTCATCCTACAGAGGATGCGACCTCCAGAGGATTCGACCTCCGGAGGGCGCAGCCTTCAAAATGAGACACAGCTAGTGTCTCGTTCCCTACTCAGGGAACCATGGTTACATA